CATGACATTTTTATGACATTCACTTTACCTGAGAAGGGTGGATATGTATGCATTCACAATATATGCTCTTGCTGTGGATACATTACAGGAGTAAAACAACTGAAGAGATGGAAAGGTTTGTTTGAGCTCATTCTTGGCTCCCAGTTGCGTGGAGCTGGGCTTCAGTATGGTAGATCACTAGCAGGAAGTGCACTGGAGAGAGGGGAACACAGAGGACAAGAAAATGGACACAATGTCCTCTTCCGTTCCTTCCTTCAATGTTTCCCTTTCCTTCTGCTTTGCCCTCTTGCAAAAACTTTCACCACCTACTAATTATGCAACAGGCTGGTGACCAAATCTTTAACACATGGATTGTGGGGAATGTGTAACATCTAAACCATAACTATGCTAATTCTCTGTATGTATGTATGTATGTATCTGTCTATCTATCTATCTTTCACCTATGTATCTTGCAAACTGCTAGTTTGCTTACTTTTAATAAAAAGGAGAATGTTAGCATTACATGCTCTCCCTCTGTATTTTGAGAGTCCCATTGTTATTTCTCCAATATGAAGAGAGTTAGCATTTATAATACAGAAATGGTTGCTTTGAATTACCCAAGAGATTGTTAATAGTTTTGCCTCTTGAAAACAAATATACATATAGCTGTTTGTACCATCGGTTACCTTAAACTTCTTTCTTTTGTTAAAAGCGGTCATTCCTTTGGTGACATGTTAACGTACACTGAAGTTCAGAAAACACAAAAACATTCAGGCAAAAGAGGAGCAAAATGGCAAGAAAACAGAATGTGGGAAGTAGACCCTAAATCTACCAAACAAAATAAAGTGTAGCAAACAACCCAAAAAGCTTGACTGTTTTATAAAAAGATTCATAGAGTCATGGAATCACAACAGAAGAAGCGGTCCTCAGGCCTTACACTTCCATTCCATTCCAATTTGGACATGTACATAGACAATGTACAATAATTAATAATACAGCAAGAGCTCTAGTATTAATATTCACTTACATAGGAAATATGGGCTTTACATACAAAGTTGTACTCACATAATTTCAAGGCATTTACATAATGGGACAACCTCGGCATGTGTTACTACCAATAATCAATAATCTATGACTCATCTCCCTCCCCTATGGTTTTCTGCTGTGACTGATCTGTTAAACCTGCTTTAAGAGGACCTTAATTCCTTAATGATGGTGTAGGTTTGGAAGGCATTGTAGAGGAAAATCAAATTTTGTGAAGTTTTCCATCTTCCCGCTTCTGCAATTATAATGCAATTCTGTAATTGGTATCCCACGTATTTCAGGCAATACTAAGACTTTTCAGAGATAGGGAAACAACAGAAGGAAATACAGAATCTCAATGGGTTCCGATTCTGCAACTTTACCATGGTATCTTCCGGCCAGACTGGAGAAATATAAGATTCCTATAAGCCAAAAAATACACTGAAAAAATAGAAATATCTTCGGCTTCACATTGGTGGGTTAATTTTCAAAGCAATGTCAACATAACTTCTGGTTTTAGTTGTAAATAATTTTCCTCTTCAAGCATTTCTGAGGGTGAGTATACTATTAGCTGTAGTTGAGTGGTTTGAGGGTATTCAATGGAAAGTAGATTATTGGGGTAAGATCCCAGGTCTCAGAGAAAACATTGGAATTAAACTTCCCGAGCAACAGGTGACCTCGATTCTGTATGCTGGACCCAGAGCTAGGAAACCATGATCTCAGCAAGTCTTCAAACCGAAAGGCTAAAGCTACTATTCCCACCTTCAGGACAACCCACTTTCCATCTTTCAAAGTGTGTTTGTAGCAGATACCTAAATTGGTTTGGCAGCCAAGAACTAGAAGCCTGGTGTTTTGGCTTCCATTTTGTATTTCACCTTTCACGAAGCTGTTATTTCCATGGTCACATTGCAACCACCTTTGGTTCCAGAAAGAAAACAAAAAAAGAAGAAGAAATCCACCATGACACTTGCATGACAAGGAACTGGGGCTAGCCCTAAGGAAAAGCAGAGCCTTGCAGGACAGACCACCCCAAGAGAGGACAAATCACCCCAAGGGCCAGATTACACCAGGCAGCCTGATTAATCATCTCATGGAAACAGACTGATTCCCCTTGAACAATGACAGCAGAAATAACTGCTCTGGAATGATGGAAATCCAGAACTGAGGTCATGGAAGAAAAGACCACACTGGTAACCAGATCTTAAGCTGAGCATACTTTTGCTGCCCGCCACTTCTTTTTCTATGTACACCCAAAGCTCATGTCTGAACCCTGAAGATGAACTGAAGTTCATCTTCCCTGGGAATCATGTGAAATAAAAGGCTGCTTTCTTTTCTGATTTCTTTTCCTAATAAGATTTCAGAGCACTTTCTCCTTCTGGATACAAGGTCTTAGGGGGATAGGTGCCCCAACTGACCTGCTAGCAACCAGCACGAGAAACATAACAGAAAACACGGGGTTAATACACGATGAGCAGCAGAGTCAGTTAATCCACTCGCAAACGCACGTCTCCCAGTAGATGAAGATGTGCTGGATGTGTTGGAAAACAGCTGAACAAAAGAAGTTGTGGCACTCCTTTGCAACTTGTGGATGCATCTAAGTAATCTTCCTGTGGAAGGCAGCATAAGCACAATAAAGCACACGGATAATATGAATGTTAAGAATATAACCATATATTATTTTAGGGAATTGAAGACACACAGAAGATTTCCAAAGTTATTGAAAGAATTCTTCCTGGGATGTAAAGCAATTTGCGTTACAGTATTTCCCATAAGGCACACTTTTTATTTTGTACTTTTGAAAGCTATATAAACATATTTCTGGTTGTTAGGGCTCAGAGTCTAGGAAACTTAATCTGAATATCACTTTAGCAATGAAAGGGTTTGTCTTTCTTTATCCAAGGCCAGACTTCAGAAAATCTACACCACAATGTCAGATCTGGAAGTTGATTCTTGCCTCTCTCTGTGAGCTTCTGGTACCATCAATCAGCCCTGTCTGGGCCTTTTGCATTTTGATTCATTGACATCTTCCTTACATCCTTGTATGGTTAAAGCTTTCTTGGGAGAAATGATAGTTCTCTGTCTCTGATATATTAACAATTTAACAAAAGTTCATTCTTATTGGAAACAATGAGGCTCCTGAAGGGAAATCAATACTTGTTCTTGTCGATTGCCATAAGAAATCAGTGCAATGGCGTCTCAAATACAGCTGTAGCTTGTTTCTGACGGATGAAGTTTGCCACACCGGAGGCTGATTTGAACATAAATTCTTTTACCTTCTGAACATTCTGGCAGTGAGGAAGGAGAGCCTAAGTTTCAGATAAAGGATATTTTGATGTTACAACTAGGAGAGTATATGCTTTTGTATTTGCATACTGCCTTTCTATTTTTACCACTTCTTGGCAGATTCAAACACGAATCTCCCAGTCTTCTTCACCATTGCTCTCCAGAACAGTGAGACCCTGGAACTCAGGAGGCAGAGGGCTACTAACTCATTTGAAAACAAACTACATTTTCTCTCCTTGCACTATAGGAAAACATTTGCCTGTACGTACTTGAGCTGAATCTAATCTAGATTCTATTTTTTTTGCCCAAACTGTACTTAGTAGTGTAAAAACAGACAATGCTGTATAAGATTTTAATATGAACCTGAAGTAATGTTTCTTGAAATCATAAATCTCTTGGTCTCTGTGAAACAGCATGCCTGAAATGCTGCATGGCAAACCTGAGAAAATGGAGGGACAGAAAGAGAAGTTGTCAGCAAAGAGAGCAGCTACACCAGCATCCTGCTGACTATCACCTCAGTGTTCATTTCATCATCCTCTGGCCATTCCCCAAAGTGAGTTTATTTTGTTTAAGTCCACTTGGCTCCTAGATGTCTTAGGAGAAGACGTTCACATTGTTCTTCAGGTGTTGCTAATGTTCCCCCAAGAACAGAAGATTTGGGTCTCAGCTACTCAAGAGCAGCTGGAAGGGAGATGGCAAGGGAGAACTGTCCAGCAGCTCACACAAGGTTCCCAGGTGACAAAGGCATGGCCTCTTTTTCTTTGCTGTGGAGTTGGACATGGTGGAGGGAGAGTCCAGACAGATAGTGTTTCTAGTGAAGCAAACTGGTGCAGTGTTGGCCAGGGGAATTCCTGAATCCCAGAGACTTCAGGTGCCTGGTCAGGAGGAAGATGGACCTTTGTTCAGCTTGCTGATTCTCCAAGTGACTGGAAGCCTGGCTTTCACGTGGAGACTCGGATCATTTGTTCAATGTGCTTGTTCCTGAATTCTGACTTCTGTGTGTAGGATGACCACATTTCTCTTAAAAACTTATGACCAGCATAAAATGGCTTTTATCGAGGATTGTGTCAGACGAATGGCTCCCAAGGGACAGCCAGCTCCTCTTAGCTTGGCCCATCAAGCTGCTCCCTGGCACCGACCAGTCCTGTGAGAGTTGATTGGACATTCTCCTTGGCTACTCTCGCTGCCAAGAAGGCTGGAGATCAAGAGCTCATCACAGTCATAAAATGATGTAGTCTCTGCTACCAAATGTCTTCAGAACCCACCACAGAGAAAGAAATGGCTCTACGGAGATCCAGGCGATGAAAGCGTTCCATTTACTTTATGTCGGGTTAAAACTTACCCCATCCATAGTTTACTGGCAAGTCGCTCACCCTGCAATGGTGGCAAATCTTCTGGTCCTGGGCCAAAGCCACCATTAGAACTCCAGCCCCATACCCACCCACCCCCACCCCCGGTACTGCACACTTGATGTCTCAAGACATCAATACCTACCATTAGTGCATATCAACCCAAAGCGGGCACGCAGTGCTTGAGAGGGAAGCGCTAACAACTCCGATGCGCCACTCCACAGCGCAGACGTGCAGTGAACTATCACACGGAAACCCATCACACCGGGCGGTAAACGGATCGTTTCTAAATCCAGAAAAGAGCCGGCACGCCGTCGTTGTTCGCGTGTGTTCCACAGCCTGCAGGAGTCAGGTCTGTCTCAGGGAATGGACAGACAGACGTGGCCCTCGGCAAAGCCGCCATCTGGAAGTCTAGCTTTCCAGGAAAGCGAACTGCTTAGGGGCCCGCGAGTCCCCCAACACTGTGTGTGCCAGGGACGGGACCCGTGGAGGCGGACGCTGATTGGCAGCACCCACGGCTCTATCCCCTCCGATGACTACGCTCCAGGGAAGTTCTTCGCGTACCCTGTCCCTCGTATGGCATCAAGTGTTAGATAAAACACGTGACTTGCACACTCGGTAGATGTGACGACCTGAAGGTGTCACCCAGCAAGGAGCATAGGAGGAAGACAGGCTATGGAGGTCCGTTATACAATGCATCCCTCGTGTAAAAACCCAGTGAGAACCGTCCCGTTCCGTTCCCTCCGCTTCTGCTCCATCGCTAGGCGGAGGGGCGTGAGTCCGGGAGCCCAGTCCTCCGTCCTCAGGGACAGGCAGACACACGGACGCAGGGTCGCCCACTGCGCGTGGCATCTTAGCGGCTTCGGCTTTTCTGGGGCACGGTTGGGGGGGCGGCTGGAGATCGTGCCCAGGTGCAGCAGCACGCACTGCTCTGAGGCCCTGGGTCACTTCCTGAGCCCCCGTCCCTCCCGCCCCCAGGTCGCCCTGGGTCTCACCGAACCGCGTGCAATGCGCGCGCGTCCCGCACCTCCTGCCGCGGAGCAGACCGGAGGCGCAGGGCCTCGCCCCGGGCCGGGGGCTGCGGGCGCTGGGCTCAACCGGGAGCAGAGTCCCGAGAGCCAATAGCACACGGGCCCGGGTGGAGCCGGCGCGGGGCGGGGGGCGGGGCGGCGTCGGCAGAGCCGGGCGGGCTGGGGGCGCAGGCGGGAGGAAGGAGAAGCGCGCGCGGTCCGCGGCCGGGAACCGCGCCGGGAAGCGGCCAGGGATTCACTGGCGAGCGAGTCGGGCGCCGGGCACCGGCCAGACGCGCTCTGAGAGCTCGGGCTCTCGAATGCACCTCCGGTTCGGCGGGGTGCGTGTTCGAGGCGGGGCCGG